AGAAGTAATAATTTTAAGTTATGGGGTCTTCCAAGAGGGGTTCTGTCACTGCCTCTACTTCTGATGGAGGGTTTAAAGTTGGGGTCCAAAACCGTTTCCGGTTCATCAATGCTTGGATCTGCACCCCCAGTTTTTGTCAGTTATTAAGGTGCCCTGGCTTGGAACAGTTGGTCACAGGTTGGCTGGCTATGTTATTTCTAGTGAAGCTTCGAAACCCTTACGTGGACTTTAAAGAAATGACAATTGGAGGAATTTGGGAAATGTTCTCACATTCTGTCAAGTTAACTGAGCAATGAAAACTGCACATCTTGGATCTGATGGCTAATCTAGGAAGTTATCTGAAACTGAAGCTGCAAGGAGGTGTGAGCTTAGGAAACTAGTTTGTACTCTGTAAAAACAAGAATGGATTTGCGCTCCAGAAGTCCAGATTGGACGGAGTATGAAGGAAGATAAATATATGGAGGTTCTTCCACATTGTGGCGTCCAGCAGGCAAAATAGGAATCTGTTAAACTCGATATCGGTGGAGATGGTTGTGGTTGAGGATGCCTCAAGGGGTAAATAGGAGTTTTTGCACACTTTAAGGAAGTCTTCTCCGAGCAGTGGAAGATGTTAGGCAAAGAATTCTTGGTCCAGATTTCAATTTATTGGCGCAATGATGCATAGCAAGAGTCTTAAAGCTAGCTTTGCTGAGGAGCGAGGTATGGCTGCTGTCAGTGTTGCGATGAAACAAACTCTAGCCGCGGAGGGTTCAACTTGATGTGTTTTCAGAGTGCTGGAAAGGTTTTTTAGGCTGACGTTCTCAGTTTTTCAACGAGTTTTATTGCGAATGGGAAGTTGGTTCGTGGCATGCAATAGTTCTTTCATCACACTAATTGCCCAAGATTGATGGTCCAGTTTTATATTCGGATTATAGACCAAGTAAGTCTCATTGGTCATGATATAAAATCCTAGCTATAGTACTCCACTAATAGACTGGAGGAAATGGATGCCTAGAGTTATTGGGGAGGGCACAATTGCTTTCCCTAGGGGGGCAGAACATTTGATGGGGTTTTGATACCAACAGAAGTGGTTGACTGGTGGAAGAAGAGTGGGCAGATGGGGTTTATTAAGTTAGACTTGAAAAAGCGTATGATCTGTAACTTTGGGATTGTTTTGTTGGATATGATGGAGAGGTTGGGTTTGGAATTAAATGGAGAAACATGGATACAGGAGTGTTTTGTGTTCGTCCAAAATCTCAGTTCTTGTTATGGATCTCCAACGTCTGAATTCAATACTGAAAAAGGGCTCAGACAGGGGATCTTGAACTTTCTCTTTTTAACATTGGTAGCTGCAGGTTGAATATGCCTACTACAAGGGCATGCTCAGACTGTAGACACGCATTTTTGACCGACCTTAGACTCAGACGTCGCCAATTGAGCGCTTGGTGATCGTTGCTAATGTGCTCGTTCCGAAGTTTCAGGAGTCGCGGCTGTAAGCCTGCCTCCGGACTTCCGACCCTTTTCTGTGCCTTGTTCGGTTTGCGAACCAGACTCGGTTTTTCTCTGTTTCTTTTCCTGAAGGGAGGGAGCGGTCCGTAGACCATTCCCAATGTCGTAGGCTACATTTGTGGCCGAGGTCATTTTGCCCAATTTCGGAGGCCGGTTCCGGTTTTCGGACCGTCAGGGCGTGTGCCTCGGTTCGGGACCTTAACCATCTCCTCATTGCTCTGATTTTTGGCATACTCTTTTTCTCCTTTTTGGAGGACACTGGGGGCTGAGAAACCCACTTCGGGGTCGAATACAATTTCCGGTGCTTTAACAGGCGCCATTTCCGGGACCCGAACTGCGTGTTTTGGCTCCGGAAATTCGTTTTGCACGGTTTTCGCTCATTTTTTGGCAGTACCGTCTGTTTTATCCCGCAAGCAGTCCTGGAGGGTGGGAGGCCAGCAATTGTTTGCAGCAACCAGTTATCTCTCCTCCCGACCTCGGGCCCTTTTTCGGCACTTCCGGGCCTAATGTTTGAAATAACTTAGAGCTAGCGTTGCAACTTTTCAACCACTACTCTTGTGATTAACACACCTGAGAGGCCCTTAAAAGTTGGTGCGGCCATTAAGGTCACTTGACCTTTTGCCCTTTCTTCCGTAATGTTGAACCCCTTGACCTCTTTGCTCGAACTTTGAACCACTATCTGTGAGACACACCTGAGAGGCCCCTAAAAGTTCATGGCCGGCCCATAGTCAACTTGACCCTTTTTGACGCCCACTTTCCGCAGCCATCCTTGTGAACCCTTGGGCCCACTTTCTTGGAATTTCAATCACTGGTTGTGTTGTACACACATAGGGCTTAACCTCCCCATCCTGGCGGCAGAAAGCTGGTTGACCTTTTGACCCCAGCGCCGGATAGGGGGTGTGGTCCGGCCGGCCACCTCCAGCCAAAGTGAGGCGGCGGCGTGCTCTCCTCACTGTGCCCTTCAGCTGTGGGGCAATATTCCCAGGATATTTTCTGTATCGGGGGATATTTTGGGGAAAAGGGGGAGAGGGAATTCTCTCATTTCACCCCCTTTTACACCCCTGTCTTGACCTTATAACAGCTGAGGTCTCCTTTTTGTGGTTTCGAGATTTTGGCAAAGCTTACAGACTGCATTGGGTACTGAATTGAGACTGAGTAGTGCTTATCATCCTTAGACCGATGGCAAGTCAGAAAGGACCATCTGGGCTGTTAAGCACCGAAAATTGTATTCGACCTCGAAGTGGGTTTCTCAGCCCCCAGTGTCCCTCAAAATGGATGAAATAAGATGTATGCCAAAAATCAGAGCAATAGGAGATGGTTAAGCGGTCCCGAACCGAGGCACACGGCCTGACGGTTCCGAAAACCGGGAACCGGCCTCCGAAATGGGCAAAATGGCCTACGGCCACCAAATGTAGCCTACGGACATTGGGAGATGGTCTACGGGACCTCTCCCTCCCTTCAGGAAAAGAAACAGAGAAAACCGAGTCTGGTTCGCAAACCGAGACAAGGCACAGAAAAGGGTTCGGAAGTCCGGAGGCAGGGCTTACAGCCGCGACTCTGAAACTTCTGAACGAGCACATTATGCAACATCACCAAGCGCTCAATTGGCGACGTCTGAGTCTTAAGGTCGGTCAAAAATGGGGTGTCTACAGCTGAGCATGCCCTTTGTAGTAGCATATTCAATCCCTCAGCTACAATGTTAAAAAGGAAAGGTGACAAGGGATCCCCCTGTCTGAGCCCTTTTTCAGTAGTGAATTCAGACGTTGGAGATCCATTAACAAGAACTGAGATTTTAAACGAACACAAACACTCCTGTATCCATTTTCTCCATTTAATTCCAAACCCAAACCTACTCATCATATCCAACAAACAATCCCAGTTAACAGAATCATACGCTTTTTCAAAGTCTAACTTTAATATCAACCCCATCTGCCCACTCTTCTTCCACCAGTGAACCACTTCGTTGGCTATCAAAACCCCATCCAAGATGTTCTGCCCCCCTAGGAAAGCAGATTGTGCCTCCCCAATAACTCTAGGCATCACTTTCCTCAGTCTATTAGTGAGTACTATAGCTAGGATTTTATACAGTGACCCAATGAGACTTATTGGTCTATAATCCGAAATAGTAACTGGACCATCAATCTTGGGCATTAGTGTGATGAAAGAACTATTCATGCCACGAACCAACTTCCCATTCGCATAAAACTCGTTGAAAAACTGGAGAACGTCAGCCTTAAAAACCTTCCAGCACTTCTGAAAACACATCAAGTTGAACCCATCCGGGCTAGGAGTTTGTTTCCATCGCAACACTTGACAGCAGCCCATACCTCCTCCTCAGCAAAGCTAGCTTTAAGACTCTCTGCTATGCAATCATTGCCAATAAATTGAAACTGGCCAAGAATCTTTGGCCTAATCTTCCACTGCTCGGAGAAGACTTCCTTAAAGTGTGCAAAAACCTCCTATTTTACCCCTTGAGGATCCTCAACCACAACATCTCCCACCGATATCGAGTTTAACAGATTCCTATTTTGCCTGCTGGACGCCACAATGTGGAAGAACCTCATATATTTATCTTCCTTCATACTCCAGTCCAATCTGGACTTCTGGAGCCAAATCCATTCTTGTTTTTTGCACAGAGACCAAACTAGTTTCCTAAGCTCACACCTCCTTGCAGCTTCAGTTTCAGATAACTTCCTAGATTCAGCCATCAAGTCAAGATTGTGCAGTTCATTCTCAGCTAACTTGACAGAATGTGAGACATTTCCAAATTCCTCAATGTTCCATTTCTTTAAAGTCCATCTAAGGGTTCGAAGCTTCACTAGAATAACATAGCCAGCCCAACCTGTGACCACTGTTCCAAGCCAGGCAGCCTTAATAACTGACAAAAACTGGGGGTGCAGAGTCCAAGCATTGATGAACCGAAACGGTTTTGGACCCCAATCTTTAACACCCTCCATCAGAAGTAGAGGGCAGTGATCAGAGACCCCTCTTGGAAGACCCCATAACTTAAAATTATACTTCTCTAACCACTCTGTTGAGAGCAAAACTCTATTAATTCTGCTCCAACTACCCTTCACACTTGAATTACTCCATGTATATTGCCTACCTTGCATAGGTAAGTCAGATAGTTCCATATCTTCAATAAGATCGTTGAAATCCTCTATCCCTCTATCCCTTCTTGTGCATCCCTTTCATTCTCCCAGACTTCTAATCTCATTAAAGTCCCCCCCAAACACCAAGGGTGAATAAACTGTGACTTTAAATTCCGCAACGAATTCCAGACAACTCCTCTCATGGCCACGTCATTCGGAGCATAAACATTAATGAAAACACAATTAAAGTCAGGAAGAAGCGTACGTGCTAGAATGATGAAGTTTCTGGTGCTGCAACAATGAGAAAGTGCAAACACACTAGGCTTCCATACACACAAGATTCCACTGGATAAACCTTCTACGTCTACCGCCATATACTCCATGTCATCACCAGGCCATAGAGAGTTTACTAGCTTCGTGGATACTCCTGCTTTCTTCGTCTCTTGTAAGAATAAAACATCAACTTTTCTCTCCTGAACAATACTCCTAATCTTTTTTTGTTTAACTGAATTCCCAAGACCCCTAATATTCCATGACATAAGCTTCATTAAAACGGCAGTTAAACTCCCGAATCTCCATTGATGAATGTTTATGTTCGAGCATCATCATGCCCTTGTGTTGCTTTCCTTACGTCCTCACCTTCAAGCTCGACAATTCTTCGAATCGCCTCCTCTTCACTGCCCAGGAAATCAATTCCCAGAGCTTTACCCAACTTAACAGTTTCCTCTGCCTCAATTATAATCTCCTTCTCTTTGGATAGACCCTGGCCGAGTGATCTTGATTGTGACAAAACTGACGCCGCCACTCGGAACGCCGGGCCTTTATGCCAGATGGCCATGGATGATGGCCCTCTACCCTGTGAATCAATTCTTCTTCTTCAAACATATGTCCCGCCCTTGATCCTTCTTTTTGGTCCGATGACTCCATGAGCCCTAGACCCCTTAATGGTCTGAGTTTGGCCCTTACTTGACATTCCACCTCTATTTCCTTTTAGCACTACAGTTTGATACTTAGGCCTAGATGGACGAGGCCCAGCTTGATCATGGGCCAGCGCAAATGAGTCAGTGTTGGGCCTACTAACATCAGTAATTAAATGGGCCTTGTCTAACACAACCTGAAGATTAATCCCAAGCCCAACGACTCTATCCTCACTCAAACTTTTCATAAGCCCAGGCATGGTAGCCCTCACCACCTCTTCATCTTCAATAACATTAATGCATTTTTGAATTGCCAACGGTCTGCCCTCTCCTACACGGATTGTCTCAACCTCAGCCGCCATTGTATTTTTCACGCATGGATTCACAGTTTCCACCATAATAGAAGGATAGGAACCGTCGTCCACTCTGTCACCCACACTGACCCCATAGTTGATCATCTCATTCCCTTGAGCATCCGCCACCTCATCCTTCTCAACTACGTCATTAGTCACATCAGCATCCACCTCAGCGTCATCATCCTCCCCACTATCACCATTCTTACTACCAAACTGCTCCAGAATATTCGAGCTATAACAGTCATGCATGGCGCAATTACATGACTCATTTACTACTCTAGACACAATGACTTGCTCCTCACAAACTCTTACAGGATACCTCCACTCCCCACACAGAATCTGAATGCTCGTGTTAATGGAATCCATGAACTTTGTGGAAATTTTTACTTTGCCACCCAAAAACGAGGATTGATGTAATGTTTCATCATCAATCATAATTACCTCCCCCCAAATCCTACCAATCCGATTAAAAGTATCTGCACTCCAAAGATTAAACGGTACTCCGTAGCAGCCTAGCCATACTTCCCTTTCCTGTTCAACACGATCACCTTTCTTCCATTCAGAGACTGACTCGCACCATTCTTGCCAACATTCCTTGAGCAGGACATGATTGTTTTCTAGCTGTGCTCGAGATGTGAATGATACTATGGCATTTCTCCCCCCTCCTTCCCTTATGGTAATCTCTCCTGACCCTTTAGCAAGGATTACCTTCTTAAACTCCGAGAAAGCATGATAACTCTTCAATTTCACAGTTAAGCTATCATATAACCAACCATTCCCCACTTCGTGAACAATAATCTCATGCATCACCGCCTCTCGACGCTGTCCCATTTGCACGACTTCAGCGTAAGATTTATAACCTGCGGTGCTCGGTTTGAAATTCCTTATGGGCATGGATGTATTTCTTATGGGCATAAGTGTATCTTTGCCATCTTGTCGACCCTTGACTCCTTTAACACTTACTCTACCTTTGTCCCCTGTTATCATGGTTCTCTTAAACTCTGCTTCCTTTACCTTCAGAGCTTTATCATCACACCACAATCCGTTAGCTTTTTGGATTGCCACAAAAGCTGCAACAGGACAGTCGTACCTAACAAAACCAAACCTTGACTTTGTAGTTTTCCTGACCTTACTCGGAATAAACACATCTCGTACAACCCCAAACTTTTCAAATAAAGAATGTAAGTCCTTTGGATTCATAGACCACAGAAGATTATCAACGAAAACTGTATGGATCTCATTGCTCTCTGTTTCTTCTCCCTTTCCCTGATGCACTCACAGTCATCGCCTATGTAGCACTGGTTGCCAGCCACCTCTTCCAGCTGTAACCTTAAACTCCGAGAAAGCATGATAACTGTTCTTTGATGTTTATTGATCAACTATGAGAATTTTATATTTGATGTTTCTTTTTGTTGTGCATTGCTTTGGTCTAAATTTACACGTAGAAAATATGGATGATTCAAGTATTGCCTGGAGCTCCAGAAGTTAATGACCAGCACATGGTTTGGTGATTCAATGGAAAAATATTAAATTTTGATGATAATGTTAATGTTCTCTCATATTTATTTTACTTACAAAGTATTACCTATTGTTAGCTTCGCTGCTATATTGGTAACCAGAAAAGGCTAGCTGATGTTTTTCTGTAAGTTTGGTAGAGAGAGAGAGAGAGAGAAAAGAGGGAGACTGAACGAAATGTTATATTCAGTGTATGTGTTGGTTACAAGAGTGATTCTCATTTATAGAGAAGAGCACCGAAAGGAGAAGACAAAAGCATAATGAAAGCTATACGTAATAATGAAAGTGTGGTAGTGATGTTTTCCCTTTACAGCATTTACAGCATACATAGCATATATCTAATTATATAACAGCTAGCTAATGTATATTACATATTATATATTAACAGCCCCCCGCAATCTCAAGGAGGGTAGGCATCCACCAAGTTGAGTTTGGAAACAAGATCACGGAAGCGCCCAGGAGGATGAGCCTTGGTGAAAATATCAGCAGGTTGATCGGCAGAAGCAATAGGGAGAAGATTAATAGTACCACGTGTAACATGCTGTCGAATGAAATGACAAGTACTCTTAATATGCTTGCTGCGACAATGAAAAACATCATTATGAGCAATCTGAATGGCACTCTGATTGTCACAATAGAGAGAGATAGCGCCAGAAGAGGAAACACCCATATAAGTAAGGAGCCAGTGAAGCCAGAAAAGTTCCTGAGTAGTATCAGCAAGAGCTCGGTATTCAGCTTCGGTACTAGAGCAGACAGTGAGAGATTGTTTCTTGCTACGCCAAGTAAGAAGAGAATCCCCCAAGAAGAAACAGAATCCCGTGGTGGAGCGTCGATCCGTAGGGATCCCCAGCCCAATCAACATCAGAAAAGGCACGCAGTTCAAGAGAGGAGGAAGCAGAGTAGTGAAGGCCATGGAACAGAGTGCCTTTGAGGTAGCGAAGGATGTGGAGTAGAGCAGTGTAGTAGGCAGTGCGAGGAGCCGACATGAACTGACTAACAATGTGAACAGCATAGGCAATGTTAGGACGAGTCACTGTAAGATAGACAAGACTACCGACGAGCTGGCGATAAAGAGTAGCATTAGAGATGAGATCCCCATCGAGAGGAGTGAGATGAATTTGAGGATCAACTGGAGTAGAGGTAGTTTTGTAATCGATAAGACCAGCACGAGCCAGAAGATCTGATGCATATTTGGCCTGTGACAAATAGGAACCAGTAGAATCATGAGAGATTTCAAGGCCAAAAAAGTAATTAAGAGTACTAAGGTCCTTCATCTCAAACTGACAGTGGAGAAAACGTTTGAGGTGGAGAATACCAGTTGCATCATTACCAGTGATAATCATATCATCCACATACAGAAGGAGAAGAGTGGTACCATGAGGAGTAGTCCGTATAAAAAGAGCAGAGTCATAGGAGCTAGAGGTAAACCTGAAGTCATGAATGGTAGAACTGAACTTAGCAAACCAAGCTTGGGGCGCCTGCTTGAGGCCATAGAAGGCACGCTGTAGTTTGCAAACCTTATGAGGTGGAAAAGTGGACCCAGGTGGAGGTTGCATGTAGACCTCCTCAAGAAGATGACCATTGAGGAAAGCATTTTTGACATCCATCTGAAAGAGCTCCCAGTGGCGAGCAGCAGCAACAACAAGTAAACTGCGAACAGAGGTAAGCCGAGCAACAAAGGAGAAGGTCTCCTCATAATCAATACCATATTCCTGGTCGAAACTCTTGGCAACAAGACGAGCTTTGTAGCGTTCAATAGAGCCATCAGAATGAGTCTTGATTTTGTAAACCCATTTGCAGCCAATCGCAGTCTTGCCAGGAGAAAGATCAACAAGATCCCAAGTATGAGTTTTGTCCAAAGCTTGGAGTTCATCAGTCATAGCTTGCTGCCAAAGAGGATTAGTACAAGCCTCACGATAGGAAGTAGGTTCATAAGTAGAGAAGGCAGCAGATCCAACAATATAATCACGAAGATGGAGAGGAGGTTGAGTTACCCGTGTGGTTGACCCGTAGGAGGATCGGTGGGAGGAAGAACGGTGGAGAAGGAGGTGGTGCAATGAGAGGTGGACCTTCAGGGAGAGCAGTCTGGACGGGATCAGGAGTGAGCAAGGGCATCTCGATGAAGGAGGAACCTGTATCAAAATCATCAGAGAAGAGATCTATGGAAGGATTAGTAAACAATACATTAGCGAAAAGTGTGGGTAAGTGAAAGGAGGATAGGGAGGAAAACATTTTGTGCTCCCAAAAAATGACA